CACTCTTAAAAATAAAGGTGCTTCACAATGCCATAGAAGAACCTTTTTGTCTAAATGGTTCCATAAAGAACTTTTAACATCTGAAGAACCTTTCTGTTTCACAAAAGGTTCTTTGTGGCGAAAGAAGGTTCTTCAGATTATAAAAGGGTAAGAAAGAGATGGTTCTTTAACGAACCTTTGACTGAATGGTTCTTTGTGGAACCAAAAATGGTTCTTCTATGGCATCGCTTGAAGAACCTTTTGAAGCACTTATTTTTAAGAGTGTACCACTCCAGCCCGCCGGCCGTGGCTCACTCAAGCCCGCCGGCCATTCCCAAGTCAGGCCCGCCGGCCGCTACGAAGTCAAGCACGCCAGTTACCGCAACAACAAGCCCACCGGCTGCCCAGTTCACCCGTAACCAAAGGAGGACGATGAAGAGAAAAGGACTGTTCTCTGCCTTCATCCCAGCCCCATATCTCGCTCCAGCCCCTGAGTTTGCTCCAGTGCCAGCTCCTCGTAAGCGCTTCTCAGTTCCCGAGTCTAGCCCAGTGAGGGCTCCTGATCCCCTGTCGAGCCCAGGCAGTGATCCGGCTCCGGAGCCCAGTTAAGCCCAGGGCGGGCTCCAGATCCCCAGTTAAGCTCAGGGTGGGCTCCCCATGTGCCTTCCTTGCCCATATTTGTTTATCTTCCGTTTCCTGACCCCATTGTGTTGAATTAATTCCAGGTGTTCCCCTTTATTTCCACTGATCCCAGGTGTGTCTCGTCATCCCCTCGTCTTGTCATGTGTTTAAATAGTGTTCCCTGTTTTTAGTTCAGCGTCCAGTATTGTTCATGTCTACCTATGCTTCGTGAGTTTTCCTTATTGTAATTAAACTTCTCTTGATTGATGTACTCCTCGTCTCCCTCTGTTCCTTGCACCATACTCCACTCAGTAGTGCAACTGTGACACTAACTTAAAAATATAGAATAGTTTATTTTTCTGATAGTGAAGTAATGTTTACTTAAACAAGAATATGTGACTGGGACACAAATTTACATTTGATAAAAAAAAAAAAATAGGGCTGGACAATAAATCAATATTAATATATCACGATATAATTTTTTCAATAACGCTGATATGATTTTTTTTTTTTTTAAACATTTCAGTATATCTTGCCAGTGTTTCCCATGCATTGATTTATTTGTGGAGGTTGACTTCGTTGAATAAACATGAGCACTGCACGTATCAAAATCAAAACGTGGGTGCAGGTGTTCTATATGGATGTATCTTTGAGGGCAACCGACTGTCTTCAGGCATTTTCATTTTATCTGATAAAGTAGCGTTCATAAGCGCAACACTGTTTTGTATACAGCCGTTACTGGGGAAACCACTGTTCCTGCTGCTCCAAAAGCACCTCCTGCTGGCAGAGAATGAGTTTGCATTTTCAATAAGCCTGGCTCCAGCAACATGTTTTTGTTGTTGCTCACTCTTTTTTTCTGTTTCCTGGAGCAACTCTGAGCACTTTTCATATTCTTTATCCTGGCTGAAGCACTATTGTTGCAAACAATAAGAATAATCAGCCTATGTTACAGTTTAAAGTTAAAGATATTAATATTAATAAGGTAAGTCTGATTAAATATACTGATTAAAAACAGCATGTTTTATTTCACAATCTTAATCATATTTATATGATATATATTTCATATTTCCAAGGGGTCAGACATTTGCTGCTTGGCATGGACCAGTTAGACCTGCTAGTAGATGTTATAACTACACCATTCTCCTGCCAAAAAGCATTTCTCCTTATTGACCTTAAAAAATGGCAGTGTATTATGTAAATATTTAATTATATTATAGTAGATTTTATCAGTGCCCATTTTCTTTGGAATGATCTTAAAAGCATGAAATGGGCTTATATTTATCCCTGTCTGCTGCCTTTGGCGTCACAGCTCATGTACCGATGGGACAGTCATTAGTAAATAGCTTGGAACTGTGGCATCAGTCAATCAGCATTGTCATTACGTCATTTTTCTGCGGCTGATCAGTCACATGACATTTACGGCTCAGATGATTGGCTTAAAAGCCTCTATCTATTGCAATTAAAGACCGCCTTGATTATTTCAAATATACTTTATACAATGTGACTATTTAAATTGGTAGTCACTCTGCTTAATTTAAAGGAATAGTTCACTTAAAAATTAACATTTTCTTTTTTCACCCATCTGAGATGTAGATGTAGAGTTTGTTTCTTCATCTGATATCAGCAGATTTGCAGAAATGTAGCCTTACATCATTAGCATCACAATAATCCACAAGTAATCCACATGACTGTCATCAATTAACATCTTGTGAAGCAAAAAGCTGCATGTTTGTAATAAACAAATTCACCATTAGAATGTTTTTAACCACCCTTTAAAATAAGAGTCCTCTAGCCATAATATTGCTTTCTCTAGTGCAAAAAGTTACCTTGTCCGATACAGGAGAGAAATACAAACAGAAGCTAGATTTAAAGTTAAAACAGTCAAATGAGGGATTTGTTTCTTACAGATATGCAGCTTTTCCCTTTAGAAGACATTAACTGATAGACTGGAGTCATGTAGATTATTGTGATGTTTTGCTCAGCTGTTTGAACTCTCATTCTGACGGCACCCATATACTGCAGGGGATCCATTGGTGAGCAAGTAATGTAATGCTAAATTTCTTCAAATTTGTTCTGATGAAGAAACAAACCCTACATCTTGGATGGCCTGAGGTTGAGTACGTTTTCAGTTAATTTTCATTTTTTTGGTGAACTATTCCAACACAGACAGACAAACAAGCAGTTAGACACCCATCAAGAAGCCAAACACGCACATACTGTAGCAAAATCAGCAGCTTGCTTTATTTCCTGTCTGGCCAACTAATCACTCTAATTAGCTTAATTACTCAATTAGCTACTCAGGTATAACAAGTTGCAGAATGCAATACCCCTCAAGAATCCAGATAAATGAAGGTCAAAAGAGTAAAGATCCATCCGTTTCAGCCTTCTAAACCACAAGCTGCTCTGTTGTGTCGTAACATTTGGAAATTCACATCCATCACGGTAACACTGATCTAAATAACTATCTCTTCCAAAAAGCAAGGATTTATTTCTCAAAGGGAAGCTATGTAACTGGCAGCTATGTGGTCAGAAACCATAAAACGCAAAACAAATTATGCAGATTTTTTTTTGTTGCTGTTGTTTAATTATTTTCTGACTCCATTGTTCAACCATACCACATTAGTGGCTTTGAGAGCTTTGTAAGCGGCTTATGATATACACTTATGAAATATTTGTTTACAGAAAGATAAAGGTAGATTCAGAGGATTAGAACATCAAAGTGCATCTTTTTCTCTCTCTCTCTACTGTACAAAGTTCATACTGGCCACAAGCCATCAGCTTATTAGTCCTGACATTGCACTAATGAAGAGGAAAAATTCTGTATCTATACAATCCCCAGCCTTCTTTTTTTCTGCCTCCCCTCTCTCTCTCTCGTGCCGACCAGAATCTGACCAATTACATGAATCTATTACAGCAAAATGAAAACATCCAAATGTGTTTGTGTCTGATCTTGCATTTCCAACTTTCAAATGAAATTAGACACAAGTTACATTTCAGAAACATTGCTTCTGGAAACCAAAAGGCACCA